GTAAAAGTGTCCAAGAGTGTTAGAACAGTTGTTGCCATTTTTGTTGGTTTGAAATATACCCAAAACTTGCCCATTTGCTATGATTCTTCATGGCTTTTTTAAACAAGTCTTAATGACAGATTCAACTGCGTACTGAGCGTTAAAAATGTTGTCATCACCTTGAAAATTCAACTTGCAAAACGAGAAAAAAAGAATGCCTGTGGAAGGATGCTGCTGTCCTTTGCTCTTTGGCTCAGCTCAGAGTCATTTGCTGGACTGCAATAATTTGCAAACACCAAGAAGAAGAAGAGGTACAGCAAGACCAGTAAGTATGAAGAGCACAGCATTTTTGCAGTCCGCATCTCGGAGGCTGTGCCAAACATGCCATTTATTGCTTATTCTAATATTTCTGTAAGCAGATCATGTTAGGTATTACTAGAGCTTAGCTCAGGGTAAGATAGAAATAGAACTACAGCTTTTGTCACTTTGCAGCTCTTAATGTAATTTTCTGGGCACAGGAAACTAGCACTTCAAAAGGAAACAATACAGTTGTTAATGTAACTGAAATGGGGATTTGGAGCAGTGCTTAACCCAATCCTTTAATAACGTTGTGTTCTGTTGAACGTTGCTGTAATTCCTAGAGTAAATTAATGGAGGCTTCTTTTCATTTCTGATGATGTTTTTTAAATTAGCCTTCTTTCATTTTAGGATTAGCAGCCTAATAGTGCTTTCACAATCTTAGAAAGATAGAAAGATTTGTGGCTTTTGATAGCTTAATCTAGTGCTCAGGCTGCTCAGATTGGCATCCACCACTTAACATCCAGTGATGTCTGTCCAACTATTCCACAGGAGACTGGCTCGAGTATTTTCAGGGTTATGCATTGACAGCGTTCCCTTACCTAGCGTTTTTTAACTACACAGAGAAAAAGTGCAACAAAGCAGAGTATTTCTTAGAACTTACACCTATTTCACTGTAGACAGAAATTACATAGAAACTTTAGTTTTAATGAGTCGGTGCAGAGATTTTCTGCACTGCAGTACGGCATCATTTATTCTATATAGAAGGAGTGGCTGGTACTGACTCTAGGATTACCAAAGCCTATCAAAAAGTCACACACCAAGTAACCCGGGTTAGCCTGGTCTTTCTGTTTCCTGTTGGCCCTATTCTTTGCAGAAAATTGAGAGTTCCTCTGGTGAATACTGAGACGAGTGTCTGGTAGCTCCCTCCCCTCTGTCAGGTTCTGCAGGAGGTTTTCCACAATATCCAGACTTGAGCTGTAACCACATGTGCTCAAACATGAGAACATACTAACGAATCCTGCTCTTCCTTACACATCTCTCTGTCTGCTCCAGCAGCACACACAGCAGAGACCGCTGCGGTAGCGCAGAAGACAGGCTGAAAAACCAGGGGACTGTGTGTGCCCGTTTTCATAGGGACATGGTACTTGGGCAGCCTCTCTGTTCTGTCTGTCCCACTGCTATTGGCACTTTGATTCTCTTCTCATTTTCTCACCAATCACAAAACTCACCAAACAAATAAAATCAGGTTGTGGGGCTATTTTAGAGAGCAAGAGCAGACTCAGGTAATGCTACATCTCATCCCAGTCTCCCCCGCTGAAGTATCAGACTTCATGCTATACCTGCGGAAGTTTGATGAGCACAGTTCAGGTTATGGTCAGCTGGAACAGCTCCGAACGGCCAGCCCACAGAAACCCCAAAAGATCTGACTCAGAATTGAAACCTTAGCTGTCACTTACAGGAAGAATAAAAAGAGAGACGGTGAAGGTTAAGGGCACACTGTCAACGCGCTGCGGTTTGAGGTGAAGAGGCATCCTCCTGCCGCGTGTTGGATTGAAGGTCTCTGGCCTCACTTTGTAAGCAGGACATGCACAATACTCCCAATTCAAATATTAAGGCTGGTAAAAGCACTTTGTCTCCATGTAATAACAGCTTGGGCTTCTCGGAGAGAGGCGGAGTGTTCTTGGTGGCAAGGTAACCTCATCCTCAAAATTAGTTGTCCCTAATTCAGAGGCAGCCACCAGCTCTAGGAGTTTGCGTTAGGATGATTCTTTGGGTGAGGTCTAAGTAAGAGAGACTTTTAGAGGAACAAATACTAGCTAAACTCAGTGCAAAGAACAAAATTCCTCTGCTTGTTCCAAAATCCATCCATTTATAAAATCAAGCATCTAGCAAAATTTGATTTCTGAAAAAACACTGCATGTAAAAGTGTGACACGGACGGGGCAAAGGGAGAATAACGTGAGAGCAAGCAGGTGAAGTACCAATAATACCCAGCTTAGACTTACAAAGTTTTCCAGAACACAGGGCACCTCATACATTGAGTATCTACAAAAACACATCTTACCAAAAGCCCAGCACAGAACAAGCCAGATTTCATCACTGGTACAAACAGCCAGATGTCTCAGAAGCACAACAAAGCGACGAGGGGCAAACGTCCCAGGTTCCAGCAAGGGAAATTCTCACGAGATGACAATTTCACAGCAGTGGTTAAGCAGTGAAATGGGCTCAGAGAGGCTGTGGAAGAATTTCCACCCTGGAGACAGAAAGGTCCTGGGCAATGTGACCCATCGGTGAAGACGGCCCTGCTTGGAGCAGAGACCTGCCTTGCACAGGCCCCAAGGTGCAAATAACCCAGGGCATGCTCCTCACTGCCCTCCCAGCACATGGGAGCCGCTGGCCTGGCTCCTGGCCTTATCCAACCTCTCTCCTGGTCTCCCATCCTCCTCACACCCATCTCCTGGCAGGTGCTGTCCCTGGGTGCTGACGTCCTTCCCGAGTACAAGCTGCAGGCCCCACACATCCACCGATGGACCATCCTGCACTACAGCCCCTTCAAGGCCGTAGTGATCCTATCGAAGCAATTTGGCAACGTGTTTATTTCTCTATATATTGTAAGTTATTTTGAGTGTGCAGCATTTCCAACTACAAGCCATCCTTCCCTCCTCTGTCTTAAAAAACCCCAGAGCTGGTTAGAAGTAACACGTGGGAAGTGCTTTGTGCCCTTCTCACAGGAAGAAAAGTCACATTAAAAGGTAATTCCACAGGAATTTGGTCCTTAAAGCAGGACCCTTTGTGCTGCATAACTGCTGCTCGGCTGGGTGCGTACCGTGTCGCTGAGCGGGGGAGAGGGAACACTGGCTCATGAAGAATGGTATTGCACCAGCCCCACTGAGCTGTGAAAGCACAAAGGAAGAAGACGAAAAAACAATCCACTGGGAATTCACTATAAATAGAGAAAATTCAGCTGTTTTGAGAAAGCCAGTGAGAAACCTTTCTGTTGATGGTAACAGCAGTAGAAAGCCAAGACGGAGGAATGCCAAACGCCGGGCAGAGCTGCCGACCCGGCTGAGGGTGCTTCAGCCGCGCAGTGTTTCTGGCATCTCAGGTTTTCCAAACACAAAGGCTACAAATGCTTTACCAGTTCCCTGGTCTCCTTTCTAGCTGTCGTGGTAGGAGTATGTGGCAAAATATCCGAGTACCTGTTTTCTCCCGTGGGTGGAGGATTGCAGTGCTAATTGAAACTAAATCACTGGTTTGTCTGAACTGTGTCAGTTATGTTTTGTCTGGAAGTTAAAATAACTGCACTTTAATGTTTCAGACTGTTTCCAATCATAAACATACAAATAATTCAGAGAAGTTTTGCTTTGTAAAGATTTTTGAAAGATCTTTCAGACGTTCGCTGTTGACTTGCTACACTTTGGCATTTCTACACAGGAAAAAAATAACAAAACAAGTGGTGATGTTTCTGACTGAGCAAATATGCAGAATATTTACTAAAATATGTCAAAGGAATCTAAACAGTTGCCTCCCATGATGCTAAACAATTCACTGTATCCCTAAAGAAGGAACATTTTGTACAGAGAGACCTGCTGGAGATGGTATATTTTGGATCAAAGTCCAATGGTATGAGATAACTGAAAATGCCATGATTTTTCACAAAACCGAGCAGCATCTTTGCACATGCCGGCCTGCACAGCTGTTGCCTACGTGCACACCCCCCGTAGTTTCAAACAGGTAAGATTATTTTTTTGCAAGGCATATCCTAAATTTCTTTCTAATGTTTCTGTGAACTTGAAGCCTTGCTTTCTTTCCAGAACTGCAGAACTCAGACAATCCTTTCTGAGAAGTGAAAACCTCTCCAGCGCTGCAGGTGTTGCCTCCTTGGCTAATGAATATGCAACACTTGCAAATGAACAGCAATTTCCTCTGAATTAATGGCACGGAGAAAGCAAGCGTGTTGGTAAAACATACAAAAGACGTCAGGGGTATAAAAAGCATCTCGCTGCAAGTACCTGAAGTTCTGACAAGAAGGGGAGATCGAAACCCAGATCTTTTCATTCTCTCTCTCACAAAGAGGTTATATTTCTCTCCAAAGAACTACCCGATACTGTTCGTGCTAATCGAGGTGCCTGTGACATTGCACTTTCCCACTGTTTCTCTTCGCCTTTTTATGTCTTTGAAACACTTTGAGGGGTCAGGATGGGAGCTGACCATGTCTAAACACTTACCAAACACAAGAAGAGCCCACATTTCTGTCATACTAACAACAATTTTAGGATATACAGAGTACCCTTATGTTAATTTTAGAGGAAATCCATTCATACTCTTCATAATTATGGCAAAGACTACGATTATCTCTTGGGTAAAACGTCAGGGACTGGGCCCACCATTCAGTGAAGACATCCGTTGCAAACTGCTCTGAAATGCTGGATATTGGTTAAGAACGCAGTGTGTGCGACAGAACTTCATGTTTGTCTCAATGTTGCTGAAGCAAAATGCCGCAGGACTGCCTTGTGTGGTGAAACAGTGCTTTTGGAAGGATGTTTAAATAGTTCCTTCTAAAAGCAGCAAAGGGAGTGTGTTTCAGAGCCCACGAAGGCTGATCTGACATCCTCGCTCTGGAACGAATGGAGTCAGTTTCAGCCAGCAGCCGCGGGGGGGTTTGGGGAGCTGTAGAGACCGCAGCGGGTGCTCAGAGGGGTTTGGGGAGCTGTATGGACCATGGCGGGTGTTCGGAGGGGTTTGGAGAGCTGTATGGACCACGGCGGGTGTTCGGAGGGGTTTGGAGAGCTGTATGGACCACGGCGGGTG